AGTGTTTTGCACTCCTCTTTTTCTGGGCTAGAAGTCCAGACAGCCTGCAGAGTTAGGAGGTATGTTCTTACTCCGTTCTAAGGGAAGAAATGACTGAGAATCTAGTCCTGAACTGAAAAAGGGAAAAGGTAACACACTCAATTAACATATATGCTTTCTAATTTAATGGCTGCATTAAAAATTTAAAACTAGACAAAAGAAAAGCCAGGTTATTGAGCTGGCAATGAATGCCATGAGCTTTTACCACATACATAGCAACTGCTTTTCTTTGGTATTATGTACAATTGTTTGGTTTTAATACATTAAATGAATTACCTGGTCTTCAGAAATACTAATGGTGTCTTTAAACACAATCCATTCAACCGTTTCAGAGCAGGGAGGAGTTGATAAAGACCCATTGTAAGTGTAGTATTTGTCTGTTGCATTCGGCAAAAGGTTCAGCAAAATAAATGGTTCTAAGGCAGCCTGTTTTCCTGAAAAAAAAAGTTAGAGTCAGATAGTTAAAATACTGCAGAAGCAATGAATAAATAGAAATCACACTGTCCGAAAGAGTTACTATTATATGAACGTGCTAGTTTTGAGGCTATTCAAAATTTGACTTCTAGAGAGACTAGCATACAAATAAATTGCTGAGCCTTTTCTATTTAGTTTGAAGAAGTATTGCTCAATAAAAACTTTGTTTATATGGGAAGGTATAATGAGTTACTCCAGTCAAATATAATCAGTACATTGGTTCACAAGAATTGGCTCATCTGTAAATTTACTTGTAAATGTCCAAGATGCCAAATCTTTGTCTCACTCGTGAACCTTAAAGAAAAAAAAAAAAAAAGTTAATTCTTTGTTCTTGGTCTCATGACATGGCTTCAAACTCTCCCTGAATTTGGTTGAGTCCTTGAGTTTCTTGCAGGATCTTAACCTTTGCAAGAAATCAGTGCTTGGGGTACTGTCGCTGTGTTAGACCAGAGAGTTATATTACTCATGATGGCAGAACCAGAATTTCTGTGGATTAGGGGTTTTTAAAATGGTGATAATACAGTGAAAAGCTGTAACAGCTTTACACAAAGCAGAGAATGATGCGAAGACCTCCTCCAGGAGCGTATGACCACTCTGTTCTATTTCCTCGTCAACATGTTAATCCTTCAGACAGAAGCTATCACTGCTGTCTGGTATATCCTTAGTTAATGCATTCTTCATTCAGTAAAAACAAATGGCCAGTCCGTTTTATATAGATGCTTGGGGACAAGAAACTTCTCATTTATAGTAAAAATCCTGTCATACATTTTGCATCTTTGGATTTTAAAATGCTCTTTAATGTGCTTGATAGGCTAGATTTTAAAATCAAACAGCTACAAAGAATGATGAGAAAGAGAGAGTTTGTCTGGAAGGAACAGGACTGTTCCTCTGCAGAGCCTGAGAACTCAGCAACTGGGATTCCAATAAGCACAATCCAGATATGACTGACAAGGACAGATCATGTGCTATTCATTTTTCTTCAGAAGGAATAACTTGATTTAGTCATGACCTGAATTTTCAGAGTTCATTTGCATTTTATTCAGGAAAATGATGTTCTACTCATTGTTGAAGTACCATGTAGTGGCTGTATTTTGAATCTTGCTGCTGATGGTTTTACAGCTCCTTCCAAGGCTGTAGGACAGTATCTGCCTTGATTTATTACTCATTCTCCTTTGTATTTCATAGAAGATGGCACACAAAGATCATGAATCTTAACTGCTTTATATTCCTCCCTACTCTGTCTGTAATTTATGGAAGTTGCTCCCTTTTATATTTGTTGAATAGTGTTTGTTCTCTGGAGAAAAATCATTTTGATTTTAGTTTCATACTTTTGAAAGCTTTTAAAATAGTGGACTAATAGCTTTTTACATTTTCAGCCTATCAATCTTAAGGGGCTTTACAAATTTCAAGTATCACTACATATAGGAAAACTGAGACAAAGTTAGCCATTTACTTAAGGTCATGGCCATGATGTAAAAAAAATATCCCTGTTTAAGACAGTAATTATTCATGTTTATTCTCGATGAAGCCACCATGAAACTGAGTTAGAAACAGAGCCTAGACCTCCTCATCCACCACCCTGATGTCCATGTACTCTGACGTAAAACTATGAGGAATTCTAAAACACCAAAATGTCAAAATTTGGTCTGAATAATGCTGGTACAAATATAATATAATTGGATTATTTCAGATTTACACAGGAGCTACTGAAAAAAAAATTAATCTCCACTAAGTGTACTGAATACTGATACTCAGATGGTCTCACGCTTGTATGACAAATCTTGGATGGCTTCAATGGGGTTATTTGGCTTCCAACCACATATAAAAATCCAGAAATGTATGACTAAGAAAATTCACAGAATAAATCAGACATTTCTCTTGATTTAATATTTGAAGAGTTGTAAATTTCTCATGATAGTTATATTTATTAATTTACACTTACTGCTGTTGTTACAAATATTCAGTCTTGGGGTAAATAAATCATAGAACATCTCAAGTTGGAAGGGACCCATAGGATCATTTTGTCCAACACCCTCCTCCTTGCAGGACTACCTAAGACTAAACCATATGACTAAGAGCATTGTTCAGATGCTCCTTGAACTCTGGCAGTCTTGGTGCTGTGCTCCTTCCCTGAAAAGCTTGTTCCAGTGACTGACCACTGTCTCAGTGGAGAACCTTTTTCTAATGTCCAATCTGAACTTCCCCTAATGCAGTTTAACACCATTTCCTTGTGTCCTGTTGCTGGTCACCAAAGATCAGTACCTCCCCATCTGCTGCTCCGCTTGAAGAAGTTGTAAACTGTGTTGAGGTCACCCTCAGCCTTCTCTTCTCCAAGATGAACAAATTAAGTGAACTCAGCCGCTCCTCACAAGTCTTTTCCTCAAGACCTTTCACCATCTTGGTTGCCGTTCTCTGGACACACTCTAATAATCTGATGTCCTTATACTGAGGTGTCCAAACTGCACACAGTACTCAAGGTGGGGCTGCACTAGTGCAGTGTAGAGTGGTACAATCACCTCCCTTGACCAGCTAGCTATGCTGTGCTTGATGCACCCCAGGACATGGTTGGCCTCTTTGGCTGCCAGGGCATACTGTTGACTCATATTCTACTTGCCATCAAAACAAACACCCAGATCTCTTTCTGTGGGGCTGCTCTCCAGTCTCTTGTCCCTCAGTTTGTACACACAGCCAGGATTACCCTGTCCCAGGTGCAGAATCCAGCACTTGCTCTTGTTAAATTTCATATGGTTGGTGATCACCCAGATCTCTAGTCTATCCAGATGACTTTTGCTGTTTCTAACAAAATAGGCATGGCTGAGCTCTAGAGAACCATGCTCCCTGATGTCTTTAAGGTTTTGTAATTACACTGAAATGGGATTTAGTCTAATCAGTAATCAATAAAATATGGAGGCAGACTTACCAAAACGACTAACACTATCTACTCCATTAATGATTGGATTATAATCTGGATTATCTTCTAGTCCAATCTGTTAAAAAGAAATTGCATTTTTTTAGCAGTACAGGCTTCAAGAAAAAAAAAGTAAGTTGCAGTTTACCACCAAAACTATAGATGACTTAAAGCACAGCAAACATATTTTGCCCATTTGCTTTTCTGTAAGAATAAATATACGAAAATTTTTAACTCAGTGATCACACATTGGAACCAGTTAAATTCAGTTTGAACATCTGCCATGTTTCAAAGGAAGATTGTTTAATGACACAAAGATATATTTTGTTTACCTCAAACAAAATTGATAAAGCTCTTAACTTTCCATTTCCTTTAATTGCATCTTCGAAATTTGTAAACTGATCTGCATCATAGCAGTAGATTTGCATCTGCAAATAAAAATATATTCAAATGTTACTTATACAAAAAAATTTTAAAAATTAATCAACATAGTTATTTATATTCCTATTTCGAGAAAACATGTCCAAGCAATAAATTTAATTACAAATATATGTTTTTTTAAATCTATCTCACATACATTATCTGAAATAGAATGGAATTTATCATCTGTTAGCTATCTATTAGCAATCTCTCCTGGAAAACCACTAGGCATGCAGGAGTTATCCTTTCAAGGAGTACAATACTCTCCGTGGACAATACAGTAAGATGAGGTAACTTGCTGATACTGGATATCTAACCTACAGTACTCGGGTGAGATTAATCTTGAAATCAGTGTTAAAACATGAATGATAAGGCAGGATGTCCTTACTGCATCTGCCTTGTAGCAAGTGTAGAGAAGCATAGGTAATAAAAGATTATCAGGTATTTTGTGCCCACATTTAACTGCTGTCATGGGCACTGGGTTTGTTGCACCCCTTCCTCTCTTTCTCTGGATGCAGCTGGGAAATCTCCTCCAGCGCTGGACTACCAACATGAATAGGGGAGGATTCTGCTCCAATAGCTTTTCGTGTGATGGTGACTGAGGAGAATACTCTCTTTGATGCCTTGGCAGGACAAGTGCAGCGTGAGTGGGAATTTTTAAATGGCTAATGAGGTAAAGGAAACGACACTGCCCAAGGAAAGCTCCTGGCTCACAGTTCTCCATGGAGTATAGGACAAATTTGGCTCTGTGGCTTTGATCTGACATAGAAGTTCAAAGTGGTCAAAGTGAGGAGCAGCACAGTTGCCAACCACAACTACGTCTTTTTAGCTGGAAAATTATCATAGTGCCCTGTTGAGAGCTGAAACTTTGGTTTGCAGAGTGCCCTCATAGATCTCAGTGAGAGCTGCTCCTCTCCTCCACTCCATTCCCATGCTGCTGTGAGCTATTCTGACAAATCAGCCAGAGGTATGCTGGCCTGGCCTCCCGTGAACGTGGCCACACCTAGGCTCTCAGCAAAGCCCCAGCTTTGAAAAGTCCATTTACACTTTAAACAACCAAGTGCCATGCAATATGATGGGCCAAACTCGTAGGATTTTAACTGTTAGTGGGAGCTTGAACTTTGTCAGATTAGCAGAACTGATTGCTAATGTCATTTTAGAAGATGAGTGCGAAAATGCAGTTTAGAGATTCTCAAGATGACACAGAATAATGCCTTACACTGCCCTTCTAAAATGCATAATTTAAATATTATTTATTTGTATTTAAGCGAATTATTATATTTGCAAATAGACTTTACTCAAGTGATAAACAAAGGTATTTAGTAAACAGTATTACTTTTCTGTAGAATGTCAAATTGTTAAAATCATCAAAATCTAATCCATACTTTACCTCAAGAGGAAATTTTTGCCCTTCTAAACTATGTTCTGATCCATCTGATGACACGTTGCATTTTCCCCAGTGAAAAGTGATCTTGCTTGCTTTGAATATAGTGTCTAAGCCACCTCCACTTACATAATAATCATTTGTCAGATTAATTTCCACTGAACAAAGAGAGAGAGAGGGAAAAAAAAAATGAGTGTCAATATAAAAGCCAGACAAGGCATCCATGACTCTCATATTTCACTATTAGGTGCTAAAAGGTAAATATGATATGCCTTTTCCCCTGTATTTCATAAGCAATTTGACAGGATATTGGTTATTTAAACAAAGTAAGAAGTGTGGTAATTGACTATCAGCACGGAGAAATACATTTCATTTCATGCTGCAATTCATAAAATAGTCATCTAATGAAGTGCACTATTATATTGGTCTCCTGTTGTCTGAAACTAGCCACAGAACGATGCTAAAAAGCTCAGAAAACTGGCTTAACTACCAATCTGACTGTCTAATAAAAGAGGATTCTTGAAATACATAAAAGCCCCTGTGTTTTTAACAAAAGAGAAAATACCCCACCACCATTATTATCATAATTCCATATACAAATCACGAGGCAACACATGAAAATAAAATTTTAGCCAGTTCCTAAGAGGACTGTCCTGTCTGTGAGATCCCTTGGCTGTGGAACAATCTCCCAAGGGAGCAGGTGATCACAGGTCTTCATCTGGACACAAACATACACAAATCACGGATGGGACAGAACACTTGTCTTCTGGAGGGAATGAGCAGGGTGGAATAGACTGAAGTCCCACATTTGGCTTTCCCACCTCCAGTGACTGTGAATTGTTTGACCTCTTGCTAAAACAGCACCAATGGAGTTCAGTTTCATTACATTCCTTTCCTCAAGAGCTTGAAGACAATTTTAACTGCAGAGCTTAGCAGTTCCTTTTACAATACCAGAATCGCTGTAGATGAGGAAGAGGTCAGTTCACTTTGATGGACTTTAAAGAATGTTTAGGGATGTCTTGAAAAGACAAATGCACTATTTATCTCATCTAGCAGGGCAAGAGGGAAGTAAGTAATTTGTGGAGTAGTATGTATGAAGTACATGATTGGGCCAAGAACAGAAATTAGGAACAATGATAATAAAGTAAAATAAAACATTTTTTTTTAAATAAGAATAGAATAGAATAGAATAGAATAGAATAGAATAGAATAGAATAGAATAGAATAGAATAGAATAGAATAGAATAGAATAGAATAGTTGGTCTAGAGATCCAGTAGAACTGGTAGAAAGTCAAAGACAGTTAAGAGATTCCTTCCTCCAAACCAAAGCGCAAAACAAGAAACAGTACTTCCAACAAGCAGCTTTTAGTTACTGCTATCCTGGGTTCATACAGCAAAGCAGTTGCACCAAGATTTGTCTGACAATGTAAATGCCACCATAAACTTATTTTATAGCTGGGAGGAATAGGCACTTGTAGGCATAAATCACTTCTTTCTAAAATACATTTCTAAGATAAGGAAGACAAATCGGACCATGAAAGCACCTATTATTTCTCTTTGACTGAATGAAAAAGTCTAAATGAGTAATTCAGAGACAAGTGTCTACATTAAAGGTGTCTACGTGTATGTGAGATTAATCCCATCCTGAGTTTTTTGAAACAACTCACCCATGAAGTGCTTCCAGATGAGCAGGTAATTTATTTATATTTTTAAAAAATCATTTTTGTATACTCGTTAACAGGTTCTAGATATGTAGTAATAATTAGAATTATTTCATAGCAAATGCTAAATTACTGTTTAGCTTCAATGAAGTGCTCATGATGAATGACAGTAACAATGTGATTGCTTTGGCTCTATCTGTCTGTGCACTTAATTTTCATTTGTGTTTTAGTGATTTCTCTATTATGCTTGGCTACTGTCATCACCTGTTTTTTTTATTTAATGGATAAATTCAGAATCCACAAGCTAAAGAAAAGTGAAATGAAAATGTTTCATCAGAAGTCCTTGGTTGATTGTCCTATATCACTTTTCTGACTTCATTTAACTCCAAACATGAAATCTGACTTTTTACCTGTTTTGCCAGTGTTGCGAATGAAAGTATCTTCCAAAGTTTCCTTTTCCCATCCATGAAATTTAAGTTTCTTCAGATTCACATTTACTTGAGTGAGATCTTCATCTATATTAATAGGAGATTGTTTGGCACCATTGCAGGCTGAATATTTCTTTCCCCAGTTCTTTTGGTTCAAAGTTCCTAGAAATCAAAACATTTGGGGTAAATACATTTAAAATCTAAACTGGCATTCATGTATTTTGTAATGTGGGAAAGTTAAAACACAGTTTGCAATCCGTGACCAGAGTACCTGCTGTTCTTTTAGGCCTCATCTGTAGAAATACTTGGCACACCTACCAAGACATCCTGCCTTCAACAGTTAAGTCACTTTTTGACCATCTTAGACATCATACATACAGGCTTATAAATCTCTAGGGAAAGCAGAAAATAACTAAAAAACCCCCACATACAATATGCAGAAACAATAAATAAAATGGGGGAAAGAAAAACTTGCAGGTGAAAGAAACTGGTATTGCAAAAAACTTGTGAATTACTGCAAAATCCTCCTTTCCATATAACTCTTTTAATCATGTGAATGTCATTAATATTATTTCTGCCCAATTAAGTCAGCCATCCTGTAAGATTTTTAAAGAAATAAAAGCAGTAAGATCTCTAAAAAATCCTTGCACATAGGGAAAAAAGTAAAGTGAAAAGGAAAAATGTTAGTGATGCTCTGGCTGGAGAGGCCATGCGGAGGGCCATGCACACACATTTCCAGATATCTCCTTCTGCAGCTGCTGGGAGAGTAGCCAGGAGGTCCTGTGCTGTGGCAGTGCATCTTCAGGGTGTGATGGTGTGCTACCCCTACCCCTGCTTAAGCTATAACCACCAGTGAGGGCCATGATGGCCCCATTCAGCTTAGGCTGGACTTTGGGGGACAGATGACAACATGGTAGCCAAGGGTTGTCTGGAACATTGACCCAGATGTCTTGCTGGTATGCAAATATGACTATAGATTAATAATCTTACTCTACAGTGGACAGTCCAGGGCCCATTGGGCTCTCCTGAAATGACAGTGGGCTGCGTGCCACGATCTCCCCTTGAGTAGGGACACCTCTCAAGGTTACTCCTCAAGGTTGAGGGAATCCTTATTGCATCAGGTACTCGGGAAGTGAACTGGGAATAAGCACTGAAACTTTTATATCTTAACTAAGTGACAGAAAGGACTGCTTGTGCACATGCAATCCTTTAGACATAAAGTGTTGACCAACTCTGGGACTAGGATTGGATCCAACCACACGTGGACTCCTCTCTGAGGAGTACAGAATGTGAGGGGGTCCTTTCTGAACACGGTGTCTCAACGGGAGGAGCTCCCTGACTGTTTTGTCTGACCATGCCCTCTATGCAGTAAATAACCAAGTGTACCTTGCCATCGAACCTTGTTAAATCACTGCTGTATTTACTGTTGAATTTCATTAACTCCCTGTTCTATATCGATAAAGTACATTGTGGCTTCTCTTGTACAAGCGAAGTGCATCTCACTCCATCCATGATAATCTGGCCCAGGGACTGCATGGCATTTCACTGTGGCCAGTTCAGACATAGATAACATGGACACAGACAGCATGTCCTTCACCAAAGACTTGATTATTTTTCATAAGAAATGCTCACTACTCTACAGATCAGTGTGAGGGGTTAGCAGCTGCTCTGAGAATCTTCTGTTTATATAATATAGTCATATAAATAATTCAGTATTTTGTGTGTGTTGATGTGTTTGCATACATATAAATATTTTTTCCTGACAGGGAATTCTGGTAACACTTCAAAGGGCTAATTAAAACCAAGACTTGACTGCACAGACCTAAGAAAACATAATTGCTTCAGTTAGCTTCCCACTTACTAGTAGTTAAGAGCTAATATTAGCGCATCCAATGCACACATTTTAATTCTATTAGATGTGTTGAAATGAGCCCATGCTCATTTACAGGCCACTGTGCTACATCCAATTCTGCTAGCTGATGATTTGCTGTATTGTACCCCAGGCAAGGACAGCCCTCATATTGCACTCAGAAAACTCAGAGAGCGAAGAAGAGATGCAGCCAGTCCTGTAACCATGACAATAGGCAGTAATACAAGATGCTCATCTGGATAGCTAGCTATCTAGAAACAAACCTCAGCTAAACTATTCAACAAGTATCAAGTCAAGCGAGTTATCGATATCACCTTACTGCATCAGAATTACTGCAGGTCAGATTGTATATAAACCCATTTACTTCTTATAAACAGCAACAGAAGAAACTGTTAGGCATAACAGCCAAGCAAACCACAGTGAGATTAAGTCACAGTGTTATGAATCTGAATATCCTGCAGGTGGGGATTAGAGCCCTGTACCGAGCGAGCTGTGCTCCCCTTGGGAATGGCATACAGGGTAAGCTTCCAGCTCCTCTTCAAGTCACACTTCTCCTGGACATGAGCTGTCAGTTACAGTTTATCACCTGGGAAAGTAATGCAATATCCTGATTTCTAATGCGTTTTTCATAATAAAAGAGTGGTTAATATTTCACCTTCTCTCTCAAAAGCTTCCTTTAAAAAGTTCTAAGCCCAAGTTAACCAAAACTTGGAGATGAATCTGCTCAGATCTACAGTGAATTTACTAACAAATATTGAAGGCTTTTAAAACCAAGAAATCAAATTTTATTTCTATATAAACTAGAATAATTAACTTTTTAAACAGAAAAGACTCCAAACATGGTCAGTCAGGACAGAAATAACAATTCCCAGCTTGCCCTGTGCATCTTTGCAGACAGGCCCCTGTTTCCAGGTCCGCTTTCAGCCAGCTCGGTGATTTTCCAAGCTGCAGCAAACTCTTTAGAGCCCTCCTTGGCTCTTTGAAAGTCTCTGCCAGTTGGGCCAGGCTGGCTGCCCATGGCCATCTCTTGGATTTCGGCTGTGCTCCCTGCTCCGTACTCTGTTTCTTTTGCTCCTTCCTTTTGCCACAGCCCAAGACATTCCCAGGCTCCTGCTGTTGCCCCGAGACAGTAGAAATCTCCTTTCTCATTCCACTGACATGCCCACTCTCATTGGTCACCTGTAGCCTCTCCTTCAGAACATCATCACAAATCCTTTCCCAACACACATTATCATTTTTCTGCTCTTTCCACCACTGACATTAGAACTGACTGAAAATACTACTCTTTTCTCTCTCTCACCAGTGTACTTTTGGGTACTTTCTTCCATGCTTCTTTTGCTGAATGTAAACATCCGATTTTTGCATCTTCCCTTTAGATTCCCCACTATCACATTCAATTAAAACAAATACATTAAAAGCAGAGAAACTATAATCTCCTTTCAACTTTTGTTCGTATTTTGTGGTAACAAGCAGAAGTAAATTCTTTGACTTGATAGTCATTATCTGTGTCTCAGTGTATAATACAACAAAACCCCAGCATAAAGCTAATGATAACAATAGTAATCTTAGCTCATCCCAGAAGACAGTGTCAAGCCAACACTGTAATCCATCACAACATTCTGAACCAGAGCACACAGTTGTGTAAGATACTGGCTGTAGGCAGTACAGCGATGCTGCGGCCCGACCAAGGAAGTTCTTTCAGTCTGGATGTGAAGTTTTTCATAAGTATTGGCAGAAAGAAATGAGAGAAATTAGAAGGCTTGGTGTGAATAAATGAAGAATATTGTTTCCTATCCCGCAGAAAGGCCTCAAACCTGTGAGATGAGCTTGCTAAAAAGATATAATATTCTTTTTTCTGTGCTTTTTTTCTGTGTAGAAACAAAGGCAATTCAGTCAAGTAAGTGATTATAATAAAAATATTATCCTTTCATAAAGAACTTTGTTGTTTACATCTTATTGAAATCTTACACCAACTATGAATCTTTATGCCCCAAAGAAAGTTTTAGAACAGTGATTTTGAGGTAATTACATACTGCCATACAGTCACCAACAGTCATGTTAAGAAGATGATCTGTGTATATTATGCATGAAAAAGATGCAAATACTGTTTCAGCTACTCTCTGATCGTCAAAAAGAAAAATAACTATCCTATCTCTATGAATGTTAGCTTGAAATCAACCAAGGATAAATGAAATAAAAGTATTTCATAGCTGCAGCAGACAAGAGATAAGACTTTCAGCTACGACAAATTAACTGAATGCTCCAAATCAATAATCCTGCTAGCAAATCTGAATAGTTATTTGACAAATTTTAATCAGTTTTCTTCTTTGTGGTCCAGCAGCTTGTGTAGCTGAAAAGGCTACATAAGCAAAGGACAGCATTATTGCAAAATTGCACTTGATCTCAGTACTGAGGAACACAGGCAATTTGGAAGCTCTCTTTCTAAGGTAAAAATGATATCAAGCTCAGTACTGAGGAACAAGATTTGTGTGCATTTTGCACATCAAGGGGAAAATCACACTTGTATACCTCTTGAGAAGTTCTAGCATTGATCAAAAGCTATGGAATGAAATGTACAGGAAATCGATGGCAGGCTCCGGTCTGGAGTTGAAACATGAGGAATTCCAGAAGGAAGTGGAGCTCAGTCATGATTATCCAAATAATATTTGAGCAGCAAAATACAAGCTTATGCATAAATTCTGCAAATGTTAGAGCAGATAATGGTTGTGTCTATATTAGCAAGTAGTGCAAACCAATATGAGTGGATTTATAGAATGAAACAGTTGTGGTTGAAGACCAGATGTCTTTCAGGAGGGTTTTACCTCAGCCTAGCTCTGTCCGGTCCCATGGGCTGAATGCCCATTGGCGGCTGAATTGCATTAGGTATGTTCCTGTAGCACATCTCTTGTTTAGTACCATTTGAGATGAACCCATGTCATGCACTGTGAGACAATGCTACCTTGTGAACCAAAGCTTGGCAAGTGGGGAGTAGCCAGGAGATTTGCTTCAGAAGCCCACTCCTGAGTTGAACTAAAGCATTAAGGTAAATGCAGCCACTGTAGGCAGCAAGTGGTGAAACTGATGCAGTTCACATGATTTGCAGAAAGCCAAAGTAAAAGCGAAGGAACCAAACGTTTTTAAACAAGAACAGATTGTTTTACTGTAGGTTTTATGATGAAAATCATAAATCAAAGCTGTGCCAGCCATTTTGAAAAATATTGTTGCAACTGAGCTTTGAAAATGAATTCCCTCAAACTATGCCTCAGAAATCTGAAGAGAATAAAAATGTGCA